TCTGGCGAATGATGTCATAAAATATGTTTCGTAATCTTGCCGGAAAATACCTGTCACAATTTTTGATATACAGGTAATTTTAATGTAAGATGAAGCACTATTTTAATTGACATTTATCATATATTAATCATATAAATGACAATTAATTGATAATTTAGAATCTTTCTCCTTGTATTTAAATATTAATTACACATCTTTATATATTTTCTGGGCCAACGCTCGTGTTTTATGCCCTCTTTTGTATTTTGTATTGTTTGTGGATTTTTTGAGATCTATCACTGTTCATTATCTTTACCTTTTACATTAGTAGGTTTTTAATCTGACCAGTCAAAATTAACATGAAATCGAATTCCAGAAGTGCAAATAAGATGTGAAGAAACAAAGAGAAATCCTGAGAGTAAATAGAGTACCTGAATTATCCAAGTTCAATTACATGCTGTAGATTCCTAAATATACGCGAGGAATTAATTATCGCGTAATTTCGCGAGAAGCACCACTTCCGAAATAAAATTAGTCGCTTTTATTTTTATGGTGCTGAAATCAATGTAAAATCTCTTGATGAACTGTCTACTCGCGAATTATTGTTCTCGCGATTTGATGCTCAAGAGCCATTTCGCGATAACAAGTACTCGCCAAAAATAAGGAATCTACAGTATCGTTACACAAAGATATCTCATCTAAAAGAGAGGACAAAATTCCTTCACTGGAAACAACTGCTATGCAGATGGAGAGAATGCATGCTTGACCACTTGATTGAGTCCTAGTGGTCTGTCACACTGGCCAGGATACACCCTGGTCTGTGTATACGATACTGACATAATTGTCCAACATGTGACTGACAGAAAAAGGAAGTAAATAGGCACAAAATATAATGATCTACAAAGACGGAAAAAGTCATCTCTATGGAAACATGTAAGTAGTAAACGTGAGAACGTAGAGTAGTGGATAAGACAGGAAATGTGATTGCGATTGTACATCAATCTGGGATCGTTTGATCTTTGAAAGCCAATACCAGACTCAGTGAACAAATTCTATAAATCCCTGGTTAGAATGGCCAATTTGTAAGTAAATTTTAGGATGTTTAGTCCTTTTTTCCAGTGAAATGAGAGTCTACAACTGCAGCATTGTCTCTTTGCCTTATTAAAAAATAATCAGCAGTATGGTACTACCAGCTTTTCATAAAACGAGTTTCCAAGGGAACTGTATTATGAATTGCTATACTAAAATGTATGATTGTCATCGGAAACCTTTCTGATTTACTTCGTATTCCCTGCGTCTTTCAGATGCTTCCAGGTACCTTGATCAATACGATAATGATATGACGACATCATCTGCAATGTTGTCCACTATTAAACACAGTGAATATAAATGAATATAAAAGAGTGCCGAGTAAGTATATAAGAGCCATAAATGTTGTACCTATATAAAGTAAAAATTAATTCAGCTGTCACGGAAGTTAGAAGTAATGATAAATAAAGTGTTACATTAAATGTAGAGCTATGCGGACTAGGTTAGATTTCATTCCTCACGATTATTATATTGTCATACTTTTCATGTATTATACTTGGTGGATAGAGAAAAAGCAAAAATGTCATCATTTTTTTAATTTTTTTTTTTTGCACAATTGATTCCTATCATGTTTGTATTGACTCCTATCATGTTTGTATTGACTCCTATCATGTTTGTATTGATTCCTACATGTTTGTCTTACATTTTCCTTTCTTGTTTTAGGTTTTAAAATTGCGGAGTATGAAAAACAAATGCTGTACATTTAAATGCATTTTGATTGGGGTGTCAGTAGCATGGACAGTGCTATTTACGGCTATTTAAAGTTTTAAAGTCAGAAAGTCATAAGAACAGGGGAAATGGAAAAATAAAAAAAACTTTATCAGAGTACACCAGACAGACTGAGCGTATTTCTTAGAGGAACGGAACTATTCCACATCAACTGGCTCTCAACATTCAAATTCAATATATAAAACTGCAAATATATTGGGCAATATAGCCCTGTTTGCAGTGCTAGCTGGTTTTGCCTTTCCATTTCCATTGTTTCTGACCTTCCAATCCCCTCCCTGTAACGAGGAAGGGACAGGATGTACCGGAAATTTGACAATATATATCGCTCGCGTCGCTCGTCACCCCTAGTGTTCTTTTACAAACTTCCATCCGCTGAAGTCCTTCCGCCCTAAGTATTAACAAACTAAATGACTTTATCAGGATAAAGGTGAACTAGGTCTAATTCTTGATTTTGACAAACTATAATGTAAACTTTACAAATTATCCACATTATCATTTTAAAAAAAATCCTTCATTTGTATATATTGCTTACATTATTGTTTATTATTCCTATTAAACAGTTCCAATATTTTTCAAAATGTATTAGAGATCCAAATTCGTATAAAATTTTCCCTTTTTTAATGGCTTTATTATTTCAAACTGTTTCTTTTCATCATTTAGAGTTATACATTTTTTCTACATGGAATGATTTACTACTTTGTGGTAATTAATTAATGATAATTAAATCGTTCCATTATACAAATCACACTTCACATGAGTGCGCTGGAACTGACTGGGCGTGTGCCACGGAGGCTCGGAATTGCTTCAGGTCATTGGTTTTTCAGCTTTAAGATTGAACATACAATGTTGTAAAGATTTGGTTGTGACGCTGCTGTTTTTATTTTTCTATTTCCTTTGATTTAGTGACTTTCTAGTCTTTTCTTTGTCCTAAGGAGGGTACGGCGCGTTTCGAGGGTTTGAAGATTTCGATAATTGTTCTTTTCGTTGGTTAATTTTATAGTGCTTTACGTAAATATCCATTCGTGACCTTGTATCTGTTTGTTTGGTAGATTCGACACAATGGGATATACAGTGTTGGTTTTCTGAGTTTCTGGCGCTTTATATATATATATATATATATATATATATATATATATATATATATATATATATATATATATATATATATATATATATATATATAATTTAATTTTGTTTGTATTCTAGCCTCTGATTGGTTAATATCCAAAAAGGAACACAAATTATTTCTGTATAACCCGGTTTGGTATGGGGACACACCCCCCTGACAACCAGCTGAATCATCTGTATGCATACAATCCTCTCATTTCCAGTCCTCGGGATTCATGGAAAATTCCAGATTTAATAAATATACCTTTAACTTCAAACAATAATTCGATCTTACCACATGTAAACAAGCTGCTAGGCCTATGTATCAGTTTTTACCTCCCCTCGCTTCCCATCACTTCCGTTACTTCCGTTACTACGGTTGTATTATTGAGCGGCAAATTTGAACTGATAAAAACCAACGAAATTTTACACCCATAGTTATTTAATGATTTTAAAATTAAATTATAAGGAATGACTCTAATTCTTGGCCAAATTATTCGAGTATAACCTGGTTTGGGTCAGTTTACGCTGTTTTATAATCCGCTTCGCGGATTATAAAGCGTAAACTGACCCAAACCAGGTTATACTCGAATAATTTGGCCAAGAATTAGAGTCATTCCTAATATATATATATATATATATATATATATATATATATATATATATATATATATATATATATATATATATATATATATATAAATCACTAGAAAACCAACAACACTATTTATCCTATGTGTGGGATCTATTAAATAGATACAAGGTCAAAGATTATATTTTATAGCAAGCACTAAAAATGACCAACGACACGAACAATTAAAAGAACTACGAACGATAGTATTGCTCTGCCGCCTACCTCCAAGTCATATTTCAAAAGTTAACGCATTTGAATGATTTTTTCATATTTATATAGATATTTATGTGAATTTTTATAAATAAATTATGTCTGACTTTTCTTCACATGTTTTATTAGATACTCATACTATGCTACTTTGCATTATTCAACAGTAAATATAAAACCCTGAAACATCTTATTTGCAAATAAAACAATATTTATATTGTCTCTAGAAAAATGCAAAAACTTCTTATAAAATACATATAATGTAATAGAGCCAATTTCAGTATTTCAGTGATGAAACTTTAGTCAAAAGAATTCTTCCTTGAATGGAATTTTAGAAAGGCAGTGCAATGAGTCTTGCCCAGTATCGGAAATTAATCTATGATAAATGTTAGCTCTGTTGAAAAAGTTCTTATAAAGTATGCATACTAGTATTTGTACAGTCATTGAATATTTTAAAACATGTGTATAGTCATCCTGCTTAGGTCAGTAAAAACTTGTAAAATTGGCTAAACTTTTTAGTAAATAAATGAATTTCCTAGTCCATTCAGTAATTACATGTATTTCCTAAAAGAGCCAGTAAATACATGTATTTACTGAACGGTATAGGTAATACATGAAATTCCTAATTTCACATATTTACTGTAACATGGCCTGGATAGCTCAGTGGTTAATACACCTTACTAGTAATATATGTCCATAAAACGTCATAGACAGTTTTTTTTTAACAAACTTAATAAATAGGTAGAAGAAATAATGTTAAGAACAGGAAATAAAAAAATATCTAATTTAGTCAAGGAAATGCCTGGAATTTAGGAAAGGAAATAATCAATGGATCATTCATAGTAACTGTAATTAGGATATTTTTTAATTCCATTAAAGCCTTTTCATTACAAATAAGCCATAAACCATTCCTTTAAAAGGAATCTGAGATGATTTGTAAAAAGAAATGCTTCTCAATCTTTCATTTCGTGCATACAATTGAGAAATTTTGTAGTCTATGTGTGCTCACAACTGATCCAGCGTCATGTGATTAAATTGTATTGATCTGAAAGCGAAGACAAATCTCACACACAGATGAGGTTTTTTTTTCAGGTAGAAATGCACGTTTCGGCTTCTGTAGTATCTTATATAAATGTATTCCAATAATAAGACTCATGGTTTCTTCCATGCAGGAAAAGGGTGAATATAACGCTGTCTTTCATCACCTCCCATATCGTAACTGAGTCTATTGTGTCTTTTTTGTCGGTATTTGAAACAGTAATGTGACACTTTCTGAAGCCTACATGGATATCCAATATGAGACAGAGTTTACCTGAATAATAATGGCAGGAAATAGTGCCATAGAAGGTAATTAATATGCTCATTTCCTTATTATACCCCCAATTTGTAATAATGTTTAAAATTTAAAAAATAACGCTAATCACACTGAAAAGCATATTTTCTGAGTATAAATTTTAATAACATCATTGAAATAGTTTAAAAAGTTGATAGAAGAAAACAAATCATAAATAAAGACGATATGTATTTTGATACATATAAAATGTGGATGTTAATTTGATGCATATAAACAGTTGGATGCTATTTTGATACATATAGCCATGTGAGTGTTAGTTTGATACATATAGACATGTGGATGTTAAACATATAATCCATGCAGTTATAATTCGATTGAAATGCTTAGATGAACTGGTGAGTCAATTCTTTTTGTTTGTTAATTGGATAGTAGCAAAGAAGGAGTGCATCGAGGGTATATTAATTCTAACTGTTTTCGGGTGGAGAAAAATTGATTTTTTTCAGTCCTGGTTCCTTTTCTTTGATGTACTATGTCCTATTTAAAAGTGTGCCTGCAACACCAATGCAATACAATAGGGCAAGTCATTTCTCTATTTAATTCATATACTAATATTAAAATTAATGCTATGCATTGTTATAATATAGGGAAATATTTCAAAATTTTTTAAGATTTCAAAATAGTCTTCCAGAGAACCATGGAAAATTTACTTGTTTTGAGAAATGAATTATTATTTTCGAACTTGAATCTCTCTTTTGATAATAATTTGTAAAAAAAAAAAAAAAAAAAAAAAAAAAAAAAAAAAAAAAAAAAAAAAAAAGATAAGTAAAATCCAAGAGATTATTAACCTTGCATTCTTAAGCTGACCTTGTTTGTAAATACAACATATCCTGGTATAGTATTTTGTCTGACATGTTTCCTACCGTTTGTTATAGCATTGCTTTTATACTGAATTTACAACTTATCAATACATAGGGCTCACAGCGGGTGTGACCGGTCGACAGGGGATGCTTTCTCCTCCTAGACACCTAATCCCACCTCTGGTGTTTCCGGGGATCCGGGTTTTTCCCTGTTCACGATTCGTTTTGTTTACTGGGTTAATGAGATTGATCACTTCGTTTTCATCATTTTCATCACCTAAATATTTATCCTATATATTTTTCGTTTATTTGTTCTCGATAATCTTCTTAATTTTGTCTCAGCCATGCATTTGAAAACTATAAAGAAACGCATTTTAAAATTATATAAGATGAATCCAGGTAGCATCATAAATCGTTGTATGTACCACTTTTTTTCCGACCTGATTTATAAATCAAAATAAAAAAAAAAAATTAAAAAAGATTTTGTATCAGTAATATCGAATAACAACCAATGGTGCTTATGTACATATGGCTAATGAATGTTACAGATATTTTTCTTCGTTTTTCTCTTAGCTCTTAACTCTTAAACAAAGTAATATCTTTTTAAATAAAACCATAGTTTGTTAAAGTCCTTTCGCCTTTGCTGAAAATTACGGTTGTTATCTATTGAAAACAAAACATTGAATTTTAACTTTTGGATTACATTTCATGACACATAGATAATGCAAATATGTATGATTGCAGATTTAAGCTAAACTGAATTCGGTACATTGCAACATTGGTATGGCTGAATGTAAGCTTTTAAAATTCATCTTTAGCGAAATGTCATTAATTTAGGATGCTGTTAATACGTTAAAAACTAAGTAAGAGTAGCAGTGATGAATGCTATTTAGAATCAACATAAATTTCTTCCAACCGAGTAGAACAGAAGACAATATTTCTTAATTTGTTGATTCGTTCTTTCCTGCTAAAGTCACTGTTAAAAATTACAGTGGTAATGAAATCAATAGGAAGTAAATGTCGATAAAGTTAAAACAATGTATACATATTAAAGAATAAGATTTCCTACAATATTGAGCAAAGTGTCCTAAAAGTCTTATAAAAAACTTTGTTTCATGATCAGAAAGTTAAAAATGATGTACTTGTTGTTTTTGGGACGGTTCTTCCCCAGTAATAAACTATATGACCTAGACCTTTAAGATATGGCCTTAGATCAAAGCTATGCTACATTCATAGGTAAACATGCTTAAATTTGAATTCATTTGATCAAGTGTTAGAAAGTTGTGATCCGGACACACTTCCACTATCTCATTGCTATTGACCTTGACCTGTAGGAAATGACCCTGACATCACTGTTGCACATTAGGAAATACCCTACTGAAGTTTGAATACATTCAAATCAAGATATTTGTTGTTACAACCCGGACACATTTTTTTGTGGCAAACAGACAGACAGACAAACATGCCAAAACCATTGTGTCTCTTCCCGCTGGAGGAGATTAAAAAATCAACCAATTTGAAAATAAAAAAAGAATAAGCTGATCTTGTGAAAGAAGCTTTACTGAACTGATATGTATTCTGTAAAAAGATATCTTGACATCGATTTTTTTTTTTAGATTATTTTGTGTTACAATAATAACCAGTATCATATAGCGGAGTTTTACAATGTAATTTTACTATGGCTATAGGAAATTACCACATGACTGTATGTTTCCATAGTTTTATCAACCATGTGATTTCTTTTAGGCAATAATATGAGAAATCACTTATTTTTGTGCTTCATTATATTGCCTGGTAGGAATTCTTTTGTATGCAGTACAGTAAAGCAACAAAATCAATTATTATCCCTGTGATTCGGCCATGATACGTATGTAAAATACACTTTTAACTTTGTGGAAGATCCTCTTTAATTCATCAGGAGTGAATTTTACTAGTTGAATCAGGAATTCTCAGGAAAAAATGCTTTATCAGTGTCTTTAAAATGGAAATGCTTTCATTTCCAACAAGTAAGTAGTAAAAAAATGGTTAGATGAAAAATGTCAAGTGATTAGCAGAATTGAAAGCTCCACGGTTTATTGGAAATTTTACCTGAAATTAAAACTTTGTACGGATTTCATTCAGTAAAGAATATCTTAGAAATATTTTACCATATGGGTATTTTAAAGAATTATCCTTAGTTTATAATTATATCTAGATTCACAATTGAGTTAATTAAGCAACATTTACCCAAAATTGCTACAGATGAATGTTAGACAACATTAAAGTATTAAGAAATTTTTACATAAATTTGATTATCGTTTATTTGTTACGTTGAGATGCGTGTTCTATGATCATAGGCACTTGTTTCTGTAATAAACTTATAATAAATTCTAGCCAGCAAGCAGAGTTTTTGAAATAATAGAAAACAAAAGTCAAGCATGCCATATATGGTTGTGTAACAACAAATAACGTCAAAATATTTTTTTTTTATACGAAATCTTGTTTTAATGTCTTTTTTATTCTTTTTTTTTCAGTTGAGCGATCAGATTTTGTAACATGCGATTCCGCTACATCCAACAACGAAGCCAGACCAGACTCAAGCGATGGCGAGAGTTGTCTTTGCAGAAACAGCAAATCGCAACAAAAATATGTCATGGCCTGCGTTATTATTCTGTGCTTGGCAGTTACCTGGGTTACAAGCACACAGCTTTGCCAGGAAACCTATGTTCCCAATCAGTTTCATTCACCTCTCTTGTGCATGTATTTTTGGACAGTTTGGTTATTATTATTTTATCCTGCGTATGTTGCTATTGAATTAATTCTGTCAAAAGGAGATTTTCCTGTTAAACAGACCTTGAGGTAAACATCATGTCCAATTGAATTTATAAAGGAACAATCAGGCTGGATAATTAGAGATATTAAAAATTTGTCAGAAGTTTAGAACTACATTTATATATACAATAACATGTACATGTTCATGTATTTCTATAAGTATTCTATTTATCATTTTGATTGGAATTTTAAGAAGTAATTAGTGTATAAACGCTTAAGAATAAGATCATATACACGTCATAACTCTTGATTCTTTTACATTTCGACAATAGAAATGTTATTTCAAATTTACATCTCATTTTTCAGAGAGAATATACTCATATATGGACCATACAATTTTCATCCGGGCCATTTTGCCATTAAGACAATCACTCTATGCTTTCTGTGGGGGGTGACCGGTTACTCATACGTTCGAGCCCTGGACCCGAGTTTCCTGGGAGCCACGGATATCTCTGCACTATTCTCCACCAATCACACATTCGTCTATATGCTGTCTTGGATCGTTTTATTTGAAAAGTTTGTGCCACTCAGGGTAACATTACTATCATAACATTCTACTACGAAATGAGAAATTTTTTTGGCTTCCATGTCGCAACCTAAGTAAAGGTTTTCATTTTAATAAATATTAACTTTGTCTCGCCAAAGAAATAAATTTAAAAAAATGTATTTTCAGATAGATACCGCGAATTAAAAAAATATTGTTTGAATATTTTGAAGAAAATTAATTAATATTTGATTAAAATCCTCTTTAGTCACAAAGCAGCAAAAATAATCAGGATTTGAGTTTTAAACTATACTAGTATACTCAGATTACTTTGAAAGATAATGTCTCATTTATTCCGAGTAAAAGAAATTATAGCAGTGTTTCTATATTACACACATTATACTCTAATAATGTTTTTATTCTGTGAGTTTCTCATTAGTAAATTTGTCAAACAATGAAGTAAAGCATATATCTTCAGGTAATTGCACTCATTTTGTCCATTTCCGGAGTTGTGTTGTTTGCTTACGCCGACGGATTGGGCTCTCACTCGACTTGGGGCGTCGTTCTAGCCATCTGTTCCTCGTCATCTCTGGCAGTATTTAAGGTTGTATAAATCACTCCTATTATCGGATAACGAAGCTTACTGCTATCACAGTGACACTCAGTTTATTTTTGTGTGTCTACCATTTGCCAATTTGATCATAATATTATAAATGATCATAATATTAGAAATGATGATTATATATTTTTATTGAAACTCTCATTTACACTCGAGATCTTAGATTAAATTTTAAAAATTCCTTAGTAAAGTAACGATATAATGACCCACCATTACATTTCCCCTGCTGAAAAGGATATACATACTAGGCTGGCATCTCTAGTTCGTTTAACATAGGTCTTCTTCCCTCTAAGTTCTTTTTCATGCCAGAATGCAGAATTAGGAAGAAAATCTTGAATTTGTAATTTTGAATAATGACAACATTAACGATTGAGGATTAAAGCAGTTGTTGGGATATGGAGAACACTGATTTCACAAATAAATTTCGGTATGAATAGAATTAGCAAGGAGTTTAATGCAACACAAAGGTGTTATCGTAAAGCAAGTTTCTATTTGTCGAAGAGTGTCATATTAGCTCATCTGAGCCAAAGGCTCAAATGAGCTTTTCTGATCGGAAAGTGTTCATATGCTAGCAGCTTTAGACAGTACAGATTCAAAATATCTTAAGTTGCGTGGATTCAATTTCTTTTTTCTCAAATTATTGACTATGGGCTTAGGGTGGAGCTAACACTGAAGAATTTCTTTTTCATAGAAACAAGGAAATAGAATAGCAGCGCCTCATTAGTAATATTGATATTGAAGCATCTCAACGTTGTGCGGGTTCAAATACATTTAAATCAATTTTTTATGTAAAATATAACGAACAGTGACCATTCTCAAAAGTCCATATAACTATACAAAAGTCCATATAACTATACAAAAGTCCATATAACTATACAAATTTTGATCCAACACGGACCGGACCTCTGAAATCAGAGGTTAGATCAGGTGTCATCTATTGTCGACCGGTCACACCCATTGGATGCCGATAGGGTATACGGAAAATCCGCTAACAGCTCAGTGTGAAAATGGCCTTACGATTTGTATGAAAAGTCAGTCAAAATTCGATCTAACGACAGATTGTTTTTGCAAACAAGGCCATTGTATCGACCATAAAATTTGCAAAATGTTGACTTTAAACGAGACTGTTGATATGCTTGTATCATCAACTTATTTGTCGATGCCTTCCTTGTTTTAGAAATTGTTCGTAGGTAGAAAAAGCTTTTGCGTATCGAATAAAGCTGAGGGCATAAACTTTATATGCAGGTGTTGATAGTACATTGCTAACAATATTATAGCTTTACATAAGTAATAGAAGTTGATGAAAGAGAAGTTGAAGTCATCACGTTTATCATAAGAAAAGTTGTCAGTTCGCATGGGAATTATGTGGGGAAAAAAATTCTTTTAATATTTCTTCTGAAGAAAGCAAGGCCAAAGTAACTCAGATGAGCGTTGTGATCTCTTGGGTCTCTTGTTAAACATATATCAACCATTTTCTCATCTTTAATAATTTTTCAAATATCTGATTAGGCTATTGGAGGATTGACATGATGATTTAATTAAATCTAAGAATCTTCGCTAAAATATAAAATAAATTTTATTTTAATCAAAAGTCAAGACATTTATGCCTTTTGCCTAACCCCAAGTGAGAAGATAACCTAATTCTCAGTGAAATAATATTTGAATGGAATATTTCTAAATGTTCTTAAGTCGATATAAATGTATATACATATGGGGATATATATTTATTCTCTTTTTATAAGTGTAATTATCGTCCGCTTCCATCCTTCACATACAATTGCCAATACTTAATCACACATTAAAAAAAAATGTGTGACTAAAAATATGTTCCTAACAATTTTAAAAAACATGGATGCCTTTGCTAGTTTTAATTAACTTAACTTGATAGGTTTATATTTTAATTAATTACAGATGAAAATGGAGATAAACATTATCATGTGGAAGTGAATGACCGTGCCTTTAATTCAGATTCCACTGCAGTGTTTAAAACATATAATCAACTTAGTTATTTAAATATTTACTAACCATCACGAAAGAGTAGAGGTCAGGGCTTTCAATATCATCAGGATTAAATTAAACACAACATTTATTGATAAATAAATACGAAAATTAGATGATCTAAAAGGTCGTTTTATTAAAATTTTGATTGGATTGAACGAGCTGGAATTTTTCTTGTTCCTAAATACCTTTCTTTGTTATGTAAATGTGAAGATTACAAACAGTAATCAATCTCATAAATCCATAAACAAAACGAATCGTGAACAGGGCAAAAACACAGATTCCTGGAAACACCAAAAGTGGGATCAGGTGCCTTAGAGGAGTAAGAATCCCCTGTCGACCAGTCACGACCGCCGTGGGCCCTATGTATTGATCAGGTAGACGGAGTGCTCCTTAGTATAAAAGCAATAAACTAACAAATGATATGAAACAGACAAATTACGCTATGCTGTTTTTACAAAATAAGATCATTTTAATAATATATACATATTATAAAAATATATAATATAATAACATAAGATCTGGAATTTGCTAAAAGCTGATGTTAAATGGGGTTGTTGAAATCCTTTTAACATCAACTTATTTGTCTATAGCTTGAATCAGTTTAAAAATCCCTTTGCTTCTAGTATATATCTTTTATATATCACCAAACTGTCCTGTAAAATTATTTTAGTCCTCTTGAGCCTGATACCCATAGTTCTTTCATTTATTTTGAAAAAAATGTTTTTCTTTTATTTTGTATTGCTATTTACCTCAGTCTCTCATCGAACATTTGTGAAATCTTCATTTTTTTTCTGCAATTTTTATATGAAACAAAATGTCTTTTCAATAGTTTGAGACCAAGGTAAAATGATGCCCCCCCAAAAATGAAAACCTTCCTTTTACTCTTGGATAGTTGTCAATCTGTGTGCACGTAAATGATAAACATTGCTCCTGTACAATTATTGAGAAATTATTCTAAGTAGAAATAGGTTAAAGCCCCCCAGGGAAGGGATTAATTAATGCTATATTGAAGCTGAAGAATGTGTGCATAATTACGATGAAAAACGAGCCATGTACCAATATTGTGAAAGTCATATTTCACGTGTCCAAGGTTGAGATCAAAGGATGAGGGAAAGGGGATCATTTTACACAAATGTATTAAACCGTTTAACAATCTTATTTACTTTGTGGCACCTGGGTATTGAATGCCCGGGTTTAAGAGTAAAAAAAAACCCCATTTTCTGTAAAATGTAGGACACGTACGTCAGTAATTTAGATCAGAAAAGTAATTGATGAAGGTGTTAAAGTGTTTATCTTTTTCTCTTAGTACACTGTATATTTAATAACCACATCTATTTCTTTTTTTCAATAAATGATTAGACTTCTACTAAATCTAGAAAGTTTTGTAATTGTTGGTTGATTTTTTTTGTTTTATGTAAAACAAAAAACCTCATTCTGATTCTACACACAAATACTCTGACTTTTTATATTGAAAAGATGCTGGAATTGTTCATTGACCATATCTATGTAGTCTTTGGAGATCGACTTTTCCAACAATTTGTTGGAATGTCGATGAGCACTAACAGTGTTCCTTTATTACCTGACCTGTTTTTATATTCCAATGAAGCAGAATTTATTCAAACACTTCCATTTGAGAAGAAATTCTTTCTTTGGTTTCAATTCAACATTTGGATATATCGGCGACGTTTTATCAATTAACAATAGTTATTTTATTCTCCATCCCACTAATCGAAGATTGGTTGGATCAATGGCTTGCATATGTCACATGTGTATTCCATGTGACAAGACCTTTCTTTTTGTATCAACATATTGACCTCTTGACCTTGACCTTCTAGTTTGACCCATTCTTTTCTTTAAAATTTTACCACACTTTAACCTTGACCTTATCTTTTGAATGGTTGGTGCTATTGCTTTCATACTTCACAGGTGTATTTCTTTTGATGTCCTTTGGTACAAATGCTTTTGACTTTGGCTTTGGAGTTTGACCCACTTTTTAAAAAAACTTCACATGTGAGTTAAGGCTGCGTATAGGCGTTTCTATGCAAATGAGCTAGTAAAAACGCATAAGAGGTAAATTTATTATTCAGAATTTTAATAAAATTGTACAATGCTAAGAAGAATATTCTATAGATTAATAAAACTGCTGCACAAATCCTAGGCATTTTCTAATTTCAATCGGATTTTGAGGAAACATATACCGGACTGTACATTTTTACCCTGATTTAACTTATTTACAAATAGAAATTATACAACTGACCTGTTGATATATGTGCAGCAATACCAGCAATTTTGGAATATATTGCTCTTAAATATACCTTGTTTCAGTTAAATAAAATAGAGCATGTCCTTGCACCGAAGCATTTTTGTTTATGTCCATTATAATCTTGTGTAGTAAAGAGCAATAACGTCAGAATATGACTTCATAATATGTATTGGCTATCTCATGTTGTGGGTACCTACTATGTATTAGACAATGAATTTTAACTTTCTCTGTATAATAGATATAGTCCTTAGACATTTTAATTAGATTATTTGCATAGAAATGCCTAAACGTAGAGTTAATCACCTGTGTTTAACCTTCGCCATAAGTTTTGAATGATTGGAGCTAGAACTTTCATATAACATATGTGTATTTATTGTGACAAGCTCTTTATTTGAGTTTGACCGACGTTTGAAAAACTTTAACCCCAACAATACCTTTTGGATGGTTAGTGATAGGACTTTCATATTTCACATGTCTATTTCTTATGATAAGGCACCACCTTGGGTACATATAATTTGACCCTGATCTTGGAGTTTGACCCACTTCTTAAAATCTTTAGCCATAAGTTTTGAATGGTTGGAGCTAGAGCTTTCGTATCATACATGTGTATTTCTTGTGATAAGACCTTCCCCTGAATACCAACAATTTTGACCCTTTGACCTTGACCTACTTTTGAAAACTTAAACATCGGCCTTTTCTTTTGAATGGTTGGTGCTAGGGCATTTATATATTTTACAGATGTATTCCTTGTAACAAGACCTATCCTTTGATACCAACATTTTTGATCTCTTTACCTTGGAGTTAAGTGCATTTGAGAAACTTTAACCTTTGCCATGAGTTGCTTCATACTCGGATAGCTTACTGACAATTTAACGTCAATGGCCAACTAACAACTAAATTATATTAATAACAGGATGGTTTCAGCTTTTCAATGTGATTTTTACCTATGTATGTAGTAATATGTCACAATCACCTGTACATGGTGTTTATGTCTGCCAACTGAGTTGATACTCAAACGCATATTCTGATTTAAAAAAAATAGGCAGGCTAATGACAATCATGTTAATGTTACAACGATTTCACCTGTATTCAAATACAACCTATCGTTATATCGTATTGAAGATGAGAGGATGTTTTAAGTGTTTAAGTTATTATAAGGTTTTGAACATAAGGTTGAGACATAATGCGAATTTGTTGGACAAGCTCATCTTTAAATGTAGGCTAAAAATAGACAATAGATTTCTTTATCTATTAAAGTATAAGTCCTTGGCATTTTTAAAGTATCCATATTATATAGTGAGGTGATGAAAATCAGACTGGACTAAATATATATGAAATCTGGTCTTAGTGAAGAATATCTATACGTATATTGACCTTTTCGTATGAAAGACAAGGTGATTCAAATTTATGCTATTGGGACATGTCACCGGGTTTGCAGGTGCTTGAAAGTCAGTTAATTTATCGGGTCTCAGTAGCTGAGTGGTTAGAGCGCTGGCACGGTATGCCAGAGGCCTGAGTTCGAGTCCCGTTGAGACTTGATTTTTCACGACCTGTGACAGAATATTTTAATTATTGTTAAAGTTTTAATTATCATGCTCAGTATACTCAGTAAAGAAGCAATATATGGATTATCAAATGGCTTTTGTAACATTGTATCCCATATCAGCTGGACATCACTTTAGACGTTCGGGTCAATACAAACTGACTTTTCTCTGGTGTGGAATGCAATATAAGGAGAAAAATGTTATGATACAACACTTAACTTTCACTCAAATACTCTCATTGTCACTGTGATCATCTAGTCATTAAGAAAATCAATGAAACTTAAACCAGTTTTTACCTCTCTTTGTCATTAAGACATGTTTGTCTGGAATGATAATTCAAGCCGGGCAGTCGGTAGTTTGCTGTCATGCGACCGCAAATTATCGCTAGAAAATTAATAACCCTCATCTACCTTGACGTCAGTGATCAGAGATTAAGAGTAAATCTTCATGATTACCAGTCCTCTCCCATGTCTCAGATCCGATCTCTTAGGCCCTGCATAAGCGGAAGAAAGACAAAGTAATTTGTTATTTTGTCCGAGATCAAATGTTTTTTCAGAGTCTCTAAGGATAAAAAGACATGCAAAATAGATGAGTGTTATTTTTTTTTCAAATGCTAAAACACAGAATAGTGTGTCCTTTGGAGATTAGGATAAATGTCTGTAGAATCTTAAACCTTTCTTAGACATCAACAGGCGTCCTTTCCGATCAGTATTTGATTAATGTTAATTACTTTTACAACTATAAGGCACTGATGAATGAACACAATAAATACCTGATTAATTCTTATCTATAATTCACTTTCCTAGCTGCAAATTTAAAATTTTCTAGAAAGTTGAAATAAAGTTTTGATATTTTCTTCCCTGGTCATTTTTAAAAACAGAAAGTTTCTCTCTCTCTCTCTCTCTCTCTCTCTCTCTCTCTCTCTCTATCTATCTATCTCTCTCTCTCTCTGAGAGAATAGACAGTGTTACGTAACGCTTCAGAAAGGAAACGAGCACAATTTTACTTGATCATTTATTAAAAGTCATGTCAATTCTCTGTTGTCACAAGATATAGTGTTACGATTTCGCGGGTGACGATAGTCACTGTTGAATAGCTCTATTCGATACCTTTCCAATGGTATAAACATGAGCCTTCAGTTCCACATAGTTTTAAACTTATAGTCATTTCAATGGAGCCAGTCGTTGACCACTTTGTAAAAATGATTGGGAAACTGGTTGAGAATATTGAAGAAATAAGAGCTTATATAAAAGATCGTACAAAACCTCGGTAACGCGGATTTTTACTGAATTGGGGGAAGTTTATGGGTCTGATAAGGTATCTTATAAGACAGTTTGTATGTGAAGAAAGAAATTTCTGACTGGCACAGAGTCTGTCAAAGATGCAACAAAATCTGGCAAGGTAAATGTCTCAAAAGTCAGGGAAATATTTGAAATTGATGGCAGGTACACGATTCGGGATATTGCCAAAGCTATCGTGGGTGCATTTCATTTTAAACGTATTTTGAAAGTACGAAAGATTTCTGCTAGATGCACAGATGACCAAAAACGGGTACGAGTACAAACCGCTAAGCAATTGCTCCAAATGTTTCCAAATTCAATCGAAGACAATTTGCAAACTGGTGACGAAGCTTGGGTTCACTATTTCTATCCAGTAAGAAAAATTTGAAACAAAATATGGCTAACTAAACACGATAGAAGGCCTGTAGTTGCCAAAAGAACCATAAACACAAAGAAGGTTATTTATTGCATATTTTTCTCATATGATGGTATAGCCGTATAAATTCCGGTGCCGAAAGGCAAAAGTGTTACAGGTCGGTATAACCGAGATGTTATACTAAAAAAGCTAAAAAAAATATCATAAACGACGCCCTGTGCCAGGAATTAGGCATGTTCATCTACGTCATGATAATGCTCCATCGCATACATCTGAGCTTGTGAAGCAATTTTTTGAAGTCGGAGAAGGTTACCGTCTTACCACACCCACCATACTCTCCAGATCTATCCCCATGCGACTTTTTCTTTTTCCAAAACTAAAGTTCTTATCTGGTCGTCGTAACAAGTCCCGACAATCCCTTGGCCCAGCCATCAGTCAGTGCCTTAGAGCTCTACCTAAATCAGCGTTCCGTGACGCATTACTGGAATGGATTCAGAGATTGAAATATCTATTTCAAACTGCGGAGAATACTTTGAAGGGACATAATGTTCATTTCAATATATGATTCAAATGCTTTTGAGATATCGTAGAATATACATTACATATCGAACAACATTCGTATACTGATTTTTTTAGTTAGAGCATGTAATTGTACATTAAGCTAAAATATAAGATTGATGAAATACCGTTTTTAGTAATCTGATTAGAAATTGGTAATAAAATGAACACTGTTGTAATCTTTCTAGAGCAAAACTATAAGCTCCGTTTGATTTTCAGTGAAACGATAAACACAGTTTGAATGGAAACAATGCCATTTATTAACTAAATAACAAAACTATTGTTGCAGAATAATACTTTTTGTAAGGCGAATTACAGAATGATGCAATATATATTCGTACACAATGATCCTCGTTTTAGAAATTGTTCATACGTAGAGCATGCTCTTGCGTATGGAATCAACTGAGAGACATAAACTCTTTGCAGGTGATAAGGGTATATTGTTGAAATCATCAAGTTTTGTTGTTAGGTAACCATTAACGTCTTTTTCTAGAAAACATCCAAATATGAAACAGATGTTTCAGACTCTTTGGTATCTTTTATTTCCAGCTCACTGGGATATATCGAGACGGCATATGAATGAAAATAACTATTGTTAATTGATAATACGTCGTCGATATACAACAAGTGTTTTCTTCTTCTCATGTATACGATTTTGAATGAATTTGACAAAAATAGGTTTGCTAATAACGGGACGCAATTGGTCACCCATAGGTATTCCGACAGATTGTTGGAGGACCTGGTCTTCAAAAACTACATAGATATTGTCTATTAGAAACTCAAGCATCTATTTAATGTCAACTTCAGAGTACTTGTGTGTAAAATCAGAATGTTTTTAACAAACTAATGTTGCAAACGTCCATTGATAAGATAAGTAAATTTACGAGTTCCATTTTTATTGAAAAAGCAGCTGCCAATGATGTCAGAAAGTCTTGACTTTAATTTATCGTGGGGAATGATTGTATAAAGTGTTGAAGGTCGTGATGTTATTGATTTTGGTAAAATTTTGTGATTTCAAATTTTCTAAAAGTTCCTTGGAATTTTTAAGTATCCACATCTGATTTACACCTCTCCTTAAATATATTGTTGTACAGTACTCCTGAAGTTACTCCTTTAATACCGTTAATATTTTAGTGATGAGTAAAGAAAGAGGCTTGGTAGAACATTTACAGGAACCCGCTATGAATCTTTGTTTGTAAAGCATTTTTTTAAAGTTTAGGAATAAAGTAATTCATATTTAATTTGATTGTTGGAAATATTAAAAAAAATTAAAGCTGACATATGATTTTGAAGAATTTCCTTCTTAGAAAGGGAGTTATGGGTATAAGTTGGATTACCACTTGCAGAATTAAATCCCAGTTCCTCTAAAATGCATTTCAAATAATGAGCCGTACAAACAAAGACAACGTTGTTACATGGTTTGTCAGCTGGGACCAGTACAAACTGATCGTATAATCTATCTAATTCTTTTTTCACTTCTGAATTATTGAAGACAAAAGGATAGATGGTTTTAATATTCCTCCTCAGTCGCTTAATGCGAGATTTTAACATCCATCTGATACATTTAATCCATTTCGACAAAGTGTCAAGATCTATTTAACTCTCTTTGTTTTCCCAAAGACGTTTTATTTGTGAAAATCTTATAAATACCTATATAAATATCATTCAAATTTTTAATGTTTGAAAATTGACTTGGAGGTAGGTGGCAGAGGATACTATCCAGTTCTTTCACGTAAAAAAAAACTTTCTAATAATTTTCACCAGAAATTAGCGTGAATTCATGTTAAACTCTTTCAAATGATAACATAAATATGTAATTTTTAAATTCAGGTTTTATTCAAGAAATGGATAGGGCGTTTAGGTTTTGGACAACTGTCCATGTTTTTATCGATCATGGGTAAGTAATACTATGACGAATGTTTTGATATTTGTTTTTCTTTTGTATCATACATATTGATCACAGCTAGCATACAGGTTTAATATGACAGGTGTTCTCTGTCTTCTTGATTAAATACATCTAATATTACTTTGTAATTATCTGACCATTGTAAAAAATACATGTTCTTGATTAAATGCTGGTTTCAAAACAATATCCCTCTGTGAACCTTACCCCTTCTTCTAGAATTGTTCTAATTGTGAATTGAAAGGGGACTATAACCATTATTTTCATCTTCACATTATGGCAAACACAAAGTTATTGAAGAATCAGTATAAAATCGTTCAATTATAGGGACCTAAATATCATAGTGGCATAATTTCAGGGATCAGTACGTCATTTCTAATAGATATAAATGACAGAAAGAACAAATAGCGCAATTAAAAGATAAATTACACATTTTTTTATGCTGCAATAAAAACAGTGTCTTGCTGTGCACTATATATACTATAGGATCCATCAAAACTTAGTCAAGAAAATTATCGTCATCAAATTGAAAAACAATTCTAAAATTACAATACTACATAAAACAATTGTTTGAATAGAATACTGATCAGTGTAACAAGTACAAGACGACCAAGCACGTCTTGTAGATAATGAAATCTTCATTTATCGTAGGTTTTATTTTGGCGAATGTCTTTACAATTTTCATGTGATCTAATCTTGCGTACTTGAGAAGCATACAGCTGTACATATGGGCGAAACTTACTCAGTATAACGTTTATAATGCCATTAAATTATTTCGATAGAAACAAGTTACACAGGAATATCAGAAGCGACAGAATTGTTTGAACTGTCTTTACAATACTTCTACTTAGCAACAAAACAATCAAACCAAAATACCAACCTCGCCCCCCCCCCCCCCCACCCCCCAAAAAAAATAATTTAAAAAACAAAAAAAACAATGGAAAATGATAAAACATTTTTGGTGAATAAATCTGAACAAAATCGCATTAAAGATTGATATAGCTGATTTAAAATGAATAAAACTTTTCTCTCTTATGTTTTTCATAATAAGGCCTTGGTAATCTTCTAATGTTATGGCCAGTGATAATTGGACTACAATATTCAGGAGTGGAGTATATAAGAGCCAATGTACCCTGGAATCAACTCTTTGGAACAGCTGCTCTAATGATAGGTTTGTCTGAAAAACCAATAATCACAATGGAAAGAAGTAACTAACAAACAAAACTATTGATATTTCATAACTCTAATTAATAAACAGCAGTCACGCTAATGTTTATTATATACAATTAATTAATCTACGTTTCCTTGAATCTTTTCTCATTACCACAAAATTCAAACTGATGACAAGCTCTTTTTTTTATTTTAGTGTTTCAGTTTTTATCAAACTATACAGAGTGTCTGACAAACGAATTGGTGACGGGTCTTGGTATGGTAGTGGCCGTCCCTATGTGCGCAGGTGAGAAAATATACACAATTTATCCCCTGTGCTGATGAAGTTTTCCCTGTGTGCGCAGGTGAGAGAAAATACACAGATTATCCCTGGTGAGGGTGGTTGTGGGTGTCTCTAAGTGTGCAGGTGAGAGAATAAACAATTTACCCATGGTGAGGGGACATAAGGGAAAAGAAGAGAGAGGAGAGATGCAATCATAAAACATTCTCTATCCTAAAAGAATATATTTCCATATGTAAAAAAATGTTTAAATATATTGAAATACATGACCTTGTCAGCAAGCACAATTTATCATGAAGTCAAATGCTGACTGACGTTTTTCATACTAATTGTTAGGCCATTATTTATCGATTGTCGACGGATTTTTCCGTTATTTCCCGATCATGACAAGGAGCACACGGCAGGTGTGACAGGGGATGCTCACTCCTCTATGGCACCTGATCCCACCTCTGAGGTCCGTGTTTGCTTGCTCCAAAATGCATTGTTTAATGGACTTTCGAGCTTGAATACTTTCGTTATCTTCATATATTTCATGTATATCTTTACAATATCACATTTTGTTTACAAAGAAACCTCGAAATAATTTTTTTAAAATTATATTTATTTTTTTAAGAATTGATAGATAATGTTAATAATGTTTAATGTCATTACAAAATTAATAGTACGTACAACTGCTTCAAACATCCTTTTGTGAAAAAGTTTTTAATAAAAATAGTTGTTGTTATGAGTTACCCCAAAACATAAAAGTCAGCTTGGTAATTATAAACTGAACATATATATAAAATGAAAAGTAGATTGCTTCTGTTCTGTATCTATATTTTATTTTTCATAGGACACAAAAAGTCGGAATTTCAGACAATTATGATTATTATAAGCTCTCTCAAAAGGATTCATCTCGAGTGCATTAATTTTAGAATACAAATTCGTAGTTCCTATGGAAGTTGTATATTTTACACAATATTTCAATTTAAATCAGATGAATGTACCTTTTTTTCAAAAAGCAGGCGATTTAGTCAATTTTCTTTCACTAAAATCTGTCAATATGGTGAAAATACTTCACATATATGAACTTAATGACAAAAGATGTTGTTACGTTGTTTAATATGGAAGTTTAGAAGACTGTAATATTGATTAATATCTAGCAATTCAATATACCAATACCACTGCCAAATTCAGGCCGCGAATGTACTTATTTTGAATGGTGAATCATTAACACATATAGAAACATCACCCTTTTGCACAATAACTGTGGAACAGATGCAATTGAATATATTAAGATCCATAGATATTATTAGAAAAAATGTAGACACTGCTAAATATCAAAATAACCAGGATATCAAGAGTTCCAGACGGAGATATGGCGTAAACAATGGTAGCAGGGATTCAATAGAACATATATTGACACCTCTCACAATTGTTTTGCTTTTCAGAGTGAAAATATTTATATATACATTAATCAGTGTAGGACAAACCCATATTAATTTCAAATTGTATGCACATTTTAATTTTTCCTAACGTTATTTTTAGGATTTTTATGATTAGAGTAAATCTGAATGTATAAAAGCAGATAACTCTACAGAAGAAGCTTAAATACCAAGGTTGAAAAAATAAGTTAAAAAAAATTTTTTTTATTTATTTCAAAAGCACATATCTACGGAAGCCGGTAGGTGCCAGGTAGAAAAATATTTTATCTGGCGGCAGCCAAATAATTATCTGGCGGCCGCCAGAAACTTATCTGGCCGCCGCCAGATAAGTTATCTGGCGGCCGCCACATAATTTCTGGCGGCCGCCAGATAAAATATTTTATCTACCTGGCACCAACCGGCTTCCGTACATACCACTTATTACGTTCTAATTATAATGGATATCTTTTAAATCTTTGGTCTTTAGATTTATTATATAGGAAACACAGAGGAACATAAGTTTTATATTACCTACTTTTACACACTGTATTTGCGTTAAGTTTAATTGGTACCTTTTGTGCAATATTTCCGGCACTTTTTCGTGAAATCTCTCTCTCTCTCTCTCTCTCTCTCTCTCTCTCTCTCTCTCTCCCCAACATAGTTTCAATAAATGTTAAACACAGAAATACCAATAGCCCTTATTCACGAATACGTCATATACTCCATTACCTTGCTTTGTGCCAAATTTAAAATACTTAATAAATACAGTTTTCATTTTTCTCCGTTTTTTAACACAATGCAGCCAATTTCCGTTAATTATTCTTCTACATGATCTATTATCTGAACCCATTTATCACAAATTTTAATCTTCATTTTTCTATATTTTAGTTTCGGATTATATTTGGAGAAATCGTCATTTCAATGGTATGAAGTTCTCCGGAGTGGTGCTGTCTACTTTAGGCCTTATATTGGTACTAATGCCTGACACATGTTTTAGCCAAGCCTGTTCATCATGCGTGAAATATACTCACACAAAACAAACCATTACACAGCCAGAAAGAAGAGGAAGGCGATCTAGAAGGGAAATTAGTCGAGCCTGATCTTGCATTTTCTTTATTTAGTATCCATATCTAAAATTGTGTAAGATAAAAACCTGTTGAAGTAATATATACTAAGGTTGTTAAAAAGTTCGCCGACACGGTGATTTTCAGGAAAATTAATACTTTGAAGAACGACATATGTTTGATTAAATTATTATCTTTGACTGAAAATTATACAAAAGTCAGGTCTACAATCATTTTGAAAATATACAATGTTGTTGACTTGGTGGTCATAGACTTCACGAACAACCACCAGAATTTTTTAAATTTTTTTTATTTATTTATTTATTACACCCCCCGATTGAAAAGCGGGGGGGGGGGGGTGTATAGTGATGACCGTTTGTCCGTCTTTTGTCTGTACGTCCGTCCGTCTGTTACGCTTTGGGGTACATATCTCTTATCTGCAACTCCACTGATACCACTGATTGAAATTTAATGAGACATTCACAAAATTTCCGTTACATAGTGCCATTGCGCGAATCCTATTTTACATTTTGATGGGACACATATTTGGGGTTCCAATAGCAAAACAAAGACACTGCCATTCTTTCTATAATATTGAGGGGTGCCAATCTAGTATCCACAACGCCTCTTATACCACTCATAAAATTTAATGATACTTTCACAAAATCTTTATTACACAGCGCCATTGTGACCTCCTATTTTACTTTTTGATCGAACACATATTTCGGGTTTCCAATAGCAAAACACAGACACTACAATTCTTTCTATAATATTTAGGGGTACCCATCTATTTCCCGCAACTCGTCATTTATCACTGCATAAAACTTAATGATACTTTTAAAGAATCTTTATTACATAGTGCCATTATGCACCTCCTGTTTTAGTTTTTGATCTGACACTTATTTCGGATCTCCCATAGCAAAACATGGACTTTGCTATTATAATTATATGGGAGGCGGAGATATCATTTTATGAGCTCAGTGCTTACAGTAGCTTTTTTTTGACATTAAGTGACGTGACAGCCTGATTCCAAACCTGTCAATCTTTTTGAGAAATGTGAAGATAACGCACAGTGACCAATCTCAAAAAAAATCTATAAACAATACAAATCTGTGAAAATGGCAAAAAACAAGGCCCCTTTAAATTTCAGAGGTGGTATCAGGTGCTAAGGAGAGTAAGCATCCCTGTTGACCGGTCAAACCCGCCGTGAGCCCTATGTATTCATCAGGTAGACGGAACATTCTGTAGTCAAATTCGGTTTACAAACAAAGGCCTAACAATTAGTATGAAACACGTCAGCCAAAATACGACCCAGTGATAGGTAATAATAGTGATAGATTTGATAACAAGGTCATTATAGCGACCATAGAATTTACAAAATGCTGACTTTAAACGAGGTCGCTGAAATCCCTGAAATATCAACTTATTTGTCAGTAGCCTGTCTCGGTTTAAAAATTGATCTAACTCAGAACATGCCCTTGAGTATCGAGGACGTTGGGATATGTAAACGCCATATGCAGGTGAAAGCGGAATATAACACAATAGTACATAAATAATCTAAGGAAAATTGACAATGGAAAAGCTTAAGTCATCATGTGTGTCATGCAATTAAGTTGTAAGTTAGCACCTATCGTCTGTAGTCAGTAAAACTTCCAAATATGAAACATATGTAGCAGACTCTGTGGTATCTTTTATTTCAAGTTCACTGGGATTTATCGAGTCCATATATGAATAAAGTCAGTCTTTTTATAATTTTGAATATCTTTCAGTTCTACTGATTTGTCTTGTCTTTTTCCCTTTTCAAAATCATATTACAGTATACAGTGTACTTCGTTTATTCATATCTAAAGTAAAAAAGAAAAAAAATCTTCATAAGCATATAATGATAATTGCGTGCTTTTTGTAAACATGCTTATTAAGGAAAATAGTTTTCTACGATTAAGCGTCTACGTTTAACTCGTATATATAACTCAGGTAGAATGTTACTTCCTCCATATGTAAGAGCAGTGCCTGCTTTTTGGGAAAAAAAGTCTATTGGGATCTTGAATCCGCATTGCACGAACACACACACACACACACACACACACACACACACACACAGAGAGAGAGAGAGAGAGAGAGAGAGAGAGAGAATATTTGGAATAACATGTAAAGATGTTGCCGTAAATGAAGTGGTCTTTTGCATTTTGTAAAAGAACTGCATTGGTTCATCACCTCTTGAGGAGGGATATCAATGTTTGCTTTTGATTGTAGATCCTTGTTCCAAATGTGTCTTAAATTTTATTTGAAAGCAAGTCATTATGTGTATGTAATATGTATTAGTATATTTCTTTAGAAATACATTGATTACTTATAATCAAACGATAAGCCATGCAAATATGATACACTTTACATGTATTATTTAACCGTGTATGTATTAAAGTTTTTATTTTACATGTACCAAAAAAAATCTCATGAATTTGTTCATACGCACATAAAACATGTTATTATGTACACTGCATTTCATAATCTCTGTTGAAATTATGTAATCTATATGTTCTAATTAATTAATATAACATTCAAATATCTCACCATTTATGTCATATTCGTTTTATTTTATTTTTTTTTTTGCAATATTATATCATAGCATATTGGATCGATTTTATTATGAAAGTAAGTTATGAGAGTTCTTTGTTGTGAGATACATCCGATACGATGTCAAGATATTTTTAAGTAATTACTCTCGACAGTATTACTTTTTTTTGTATGGAAGTGCATTAATTTGAGAAGATTAAAATAAAATAGTGTTAACGGTGAAGATAACAAACACTGATCAGTCTAATATATCCAGGAAATAAAGCGTAAATAGGGCAAAAAAACGCACCCCTGGAAACACCAGAGGTGGGATCAGGTGCCTAGGAGGAGTAAGCATCCCCTGATGATCGGTCACACCAGCTTGTGTTCAGTGTAATAATCAGGCATACGGAGTACTTCGTTGTTAATTTTCTATTAAAACAATTACCTAACATGTCAGACTTAATACGACCCAATAATAGGTTGTTCATGTATTTACAAACAAGGTCATTGTAACGACCGTAAAATTTGCAAAAAGCTAACTTTAAACTGGGTTTGTTGCAATCCTTGAATCATCAACTTATTTTTCAGTAGTTTTCCTTGGTTTAAAAATTGATCGTACTCAGAGCTTTTTCTTGCGTATCGAATTAGTTCGGAGAAATAAACACGATATGCAGGCGATGTTGGAATATTACTACATAAATAAGGGAAGTTGAATATGGAAGAGCTTAAGCCTTCTCATTTGTCATTCAATTTAGTTGTTAGGTTGACCTTATCGTCTATTGTCAGTAAATCATCCAAATATGGAACAGGTGTGGCAGACTCTGTGGTGTCTTTTATTTCGAGTTCACTGGGAAATATCGAGTCGACATATGAATGTAAGTAACAATTGGTTAAATGATATAACGTCGATATATATACGAGGGGTGATCAAAAAGTTCGCGAACTAATTGAATTACTTTCATAGAAGAAAATAAAATTAGGTTTCAGTGTTCATTATATTTTAAAGTAGTCCTCTCCGATTTTTATACACATCTACCCATGCGCGAATCACGTGATCCAGGCGGTCACGTGACATGCTCCGTAGCGTTCTGTTCACAGAAGCTGAAAGATGTTTCCGAGTCATATTTCTTACCATGCAAGTTATTTTTTACAACATGAATAGTCCATTTGTCAAAAATGACCAAAGCTCGGCAATAGAATGGGTGGATAAGGATATCCTTCCCCAGAATGAGCATGGTGACCATCACAACCCGAGTCCTCTGTCCTGGGAGCTTCGTTTATCCAATGTGGATAAAGAATTGGCGCCTTCTTTTTATCATATCTGATATGTTTAAAGGCTAAAGTAAACGATATTTTAGGAATTCAATAAATATATTATTGTTAAGATATTCAACTATTTTTCCAACTGCTACTTGGCGATCTTTCTTAACAAATTGCTCAACGAGAGACATATCTCTTTCCCCGTTTACTTTCACTGGGCAAGAGAACAAATGTTATTTTTAATCATCTCCCTTTCTTCACTTAAACAACCAATCCAATTATTGATTAAATTTCTGGCAAGTCTTTTGTCTTCGTTGACGTTAAACAAATTATTATATGCTACTGCAAAGGAAATTCCAAGATACATGTTAAACTTTACAGCCGTTCGTTGCTCGAGTACAACGAAGTCAACCATTTTTTTGTCACAAGTCACCTACATTTGAAGTCATTTTTACATTTTGACGCCACAGACATGGAGCAAAATATTACATGACACCTGCTTTTTAAAGAGCATATGTATGACACATATCATTCTGATCTGAATCGTGGTTTTGTAAATATAGAGATAGTTCGCGAACTTTTTGATCATCCCTCGTATATGTCGAGTTCAAGGCCACAACAAGTTTCCTTCTTCTCAAGTAGATGTTTTTGAATAAATTCTGCTTCAAAGGAATACAAAAACAGGTCGGCTAATAAAGGAGTACAATTAGTAGCCATTGAAATTCCAACAGAGTGTTGGAAGACTACATAGAAATTGTCAATGAGGAACTCCAGCATCTTTTTAATATCAACTTCAGAGTACTTGTACATATATGTAGAAAATGTGAAGGTAACGAACAGTGATCGATCTAAAAAAAAAAAAACCCTACAAATAATACAAATCTGTAAACATGGCATAAAACACTAACCCCTGGAAATTCCAGATGTGGGATCAGGTGCCTAGAAAGAGTATACCTCCCTTGTCGGCTGGTCAGACTCACCGTGAGCCTAATGTGTTGATCTGATTGACGGAACGATCCAAAGTTAAATACATTATAAAAACAAAGGCCTTACAATTTGTATGAAATATGTCAGTCAAAATACTACCCAATGATTAGGATGTACTTGCTAAAAAGGTCATAATAAACCAAAGAATTTACAAAATGCTGACTTTAAACGAGGTTGTTGAAAAATATGGAATCAAAATATCCCCGTAAATTTTAAATCCAAAAATTATTTAAATGCAGCTCTAGTGGTTATTGAAACCTATGAAAAAGATATGATTCTAAGAAATAAAAGGATTGTAGCATAATCTTTCAAATGTATGTAAGAGGGCAAATTATATTTAACATCTTGTTCGAGATTCACATTTACATTTTTATAAAAATTACAAATTTGGAAATGAAAAAGTATTTTTATGTTTATATCCTATTTGAATAACTGTAATAATATTAGTATTTGGCTGTAAGTAAATTTTATAATTAGCCCTTTCACGATAACTGCGGTATTGCTCTTCTGCAGGGCAAATTAATAATGTTTGGCGAAGTTTTTGTTGATAGATAATTAAATGACGCATATTAAATAATTGCTTTTACGTCATATTTCACCAAAGTATATCATTTTGCCCTGCAAAAGAGTAGTACTGCAGTTACCGGGAAACGGTCTATTAATTTTTTACACTTGTGAATCTGTCCATTGATTGGTCAATTTACGGTATATGCAGTAGGCCATCTTTTGGCGGCATTTTTCACCGTAGATGTTGACAAGGGAAGACGTGTTGTACTAGCGCCTTTTGTCTGATAGATTCCTCTTGTATGGCGACGTCACAGTGACCGGAAGCCATGACACTGCATTCCTTACTTAGGACCTCTGTCATTATTGAACAATCAACTTAAGAATAAAAGAACTAAAATAACACAAGGACCATCTAATTATTCTTTTGTGTTACATGTATCTGGCATGTATGTCACAAAAACAGAAGCAAACATCTTTAGAAATAAAATCTAAACGTCACATGTGATGCACATCCACCAGTGTGGCCACAACTACCGATTAAACTATGACCAAAGTTCAGGGTTAGGGAGAGGGCTTATATAGACAATATGCCATCTGCCCAATCCTTCATTATTTTTAACTGTATATTGATTTAAAATCATACATAGGATTCAGTTTTAGGTTGCTCAATTTTACAAGTGGGAAACAGTGATACTGGCCCAGCTATTGTAAAACATGGGTTGAGATATATTCAATCTACCAATATAAGACTCAAAGGACTTTCAAATGAACAACTAGCTTATGATCTCTTTAATCGATTTTACTGAAAAGTATTAACATTTTAATAATAATAGGAGCCTAGATATCAAAAAGTTAAATGAGGAAATTCTTTGTTAAATACACTTTTTGTGAATAAGGCTGTTACCTTTATTGATTCAGACTAAATTTCAGACAACTGCTATCTGTCTAGTGTGTACCTTAATGCAAGGCATTTGTCTATAATTCATGTAGATTATGTTGCAATGAAGGCATTGGAACTCGGGTAAGCTACACCTTATAGCATAACACTTTTCATTACCGAGTTATATTATGTGTACATTAAACTATACACGAGATCAGTAATAGATAGAGGCTACTTTAAAAAAAATATTCATTTTTATTGGTGATTTACCAGTTACTTATCATCAAGTTTGTCAATTACATCATCAAAATTGTCAGTTAGATGTTTTCATGCAGAATCATTATGTTCCTATCAAATAAGAATGAACCCAGACAGAATGGATGTACAAAGTTTGTAATGCACGGTAGAGCAATTACACAGCTTATACCTGTAACAGTGTGACTTTGATCCGCCTCTTCAAACTTCAAACCACAAGAGACTCAGTCTAGACTGTGATGTCACATGAGAAATTTTTTCCCTAATAGCATGACTTGTTACTAACTAATCTGTTCAGATTCACAATGTATTTGCTAGACAAAGCTTCTTACTATCGTCAGTGAGGTTTCATCTCTTCTTAGGTACATATAGTTCCATGGTAAAAATATAAAGTGATAATTTTTCCTTAGAATGATCTCCTCATTAATAAGTCATGGCGTATTCTCGTGTTGTAAGTTGTATGTTTCAAGTAATTTTCTTTATCGAAATACATGGAAAATTACATGCCATTTCACTCTTGCCTAAATATTAATGATACTTGATACATTAATATTTAGGAAAGAGTAACATGGCATGTAATTTTCCATGTATTTCGATAAAGGAAACTACTTGAAACATGAAGTATATTTTTTAAAGTTCTCGCTTACAAAAAGTGACTTACAGTATATAGTATAGTACACGGGGATTTAGATCACTTTAAATAATCCGACTGACAAAAAATGGGGAATAAAAAAATAAAGGTATGGAACTCCTCATGTAGGGTAGCTACTATCACCAATGAAATATCAATGAATCAAAGGATTTAAAATTAACTTTTATTCATATCTCTTCACATATAAACAAACCAAAGTAAATTACTACCAAAGTTTATTCCGAAATTCCGTATACTAGTACTTCCTAATACATACTGAAATCAATTCCAAAGAATGGGTGGACTTTAAAGTCCTGAAGAAAAGCCGTAAATTGAAGTTTATAAAATGTTTATTTCTTTCCATAATATAAATCACAGATATCTTAACTGTGTGTGTATTCTTGACAGATACATGGATTTAAAACACTCTTTTCAACGAAAACAAAAAAAATATCGAAGGCATGGAATCCGAAGATTTTTTTGAATATCAATAGATAATCAGGGTCACGCTTTTTTCATCGTCGTAATACATAGTCAGCGAATGGTTGTCGGCTGCTCTTAAGAAATCTTTAGCTGTATATTGAACAAAATAATGTCATATTTAAAGGAGATGAGCCTACAAACGCGCTTAATTTTACAAAACACATGTTCAAAATAAACTTTTCGCTTCCATTATTATGACTGTGATTTGACCTCAACAGACCTGTTGAATATTACAATTCATCACATGGTGTCCAGCTGCTAGTGAACTCGTGAAAACAATATTCTAAAACGTGACTTTGATCTAAATCACGTGTTAGAGCGAGTATGGTTGGTCTGCCATTTGCAGAATTTAGTAGATTAAATCTGCGAGTCCTTTCACTATTTACCAGAGACATCACTGTAATTGTTGTAAACTGATACACCATACACATTTTAGCATTTCTAGAGAGAGAGAGAGAGATGACGCTGATCAATTGCCCCGCCTCCTATTAATATTGATTATGTGACCTAAACACCACTCCAGAGATGTCCAATTCCGGACGGTGACACTAATGCATCGTTGCTTCAATTTCGATTCTTGGCACCAAGGCATTGCTTTTGTACAAATGTTCTATCTAATATACGGTAGCCTAGTGGTAGTGCAATCGCTAAGTGATTGGGAGGCCAAGGTTCGATTCTATCTCGCCGCGTCAAACCTAAGACGTAAACATAGGTAGTGACGGTTCCCTTGCCAAGCGCCCGGCACTAGAAGTGAAATTCACTGGTCTTTCCGAGGTCACGGTAGCCGTTGGCACGGTAAAGAACCCTCACTGCTCAATGGCCCTAAGTGCCGAGTAAAAGTCTAAATTTGAAGCCCTTCGCCGGTATATGGCGACGTCTCTATTTAGTAAAAATGAGGATACCCACTGCGATACTGCTCACTGGAAAAAGAGAATTTAATTATTATAATGCATAGAGAGTGAATATATTGATGACAATTACCGCATTTCAAATATCAGCTATCAATTTTGGTCTGTCTGTCCGTCCGTCCATTTATCAGTCTGTCTGTGTGTAATCCTTTCGTTTCCGGGCGATACATCGAGAAGCTTAGAGCTTTTGTCGTGATATTTTATACCACAAATGCCCGTGGCAAAAAAAAAAAGGTCAAAATGTCAAAGATCAAGGTCATAAAATCATACATGTTGTAGTTGATAACCACATTATATTTGTCCGATAGTAGTAAAGTAAAGTAGAATCGCTATCCTGATTAAGAATAATTATACGTATCTTTAATCACAGAACATCGCATATATTTCCATTGCCCACCTTAACTTTGCTGCTTAAAATGAGAAAGTACACCACTAATCATTTCTGACCCTGAGACAGAGGACTTCGATAACATATTTGTGTTTTATATATGTTTGGTTACACAAAATTTTGTCAACAAACAATGAAAATACAGATATGCGTCCAAATTGTGACCATCTAACGTATAACTCCAAAATATTCTGTTCCTATACATACATTTTATTAGATGAAATGTAAAAACTATTTGAATATTATAAACTTATTTTATTCAAAATATTTTCTTCAAGAAAAACAATCTTAAACATCTAAGTTATTATACAAAAAAAGTACAATACAGAAATATTTAGCACTTGAGTTGAGTCAGAAAAAAACTAAATTAAGTCCCAAGAAGATAACTGTCATGGCTGCCAAGGGGATAGCGCTGGCACTAAGCCAACAAGCCCATGACACTTGAGAAACTAACATTTGAAACATCCCCATGTTATTGAACATCGTGTGTTCATCCAGCTTTGTGTGGTTGGTAGTAAAAATGAGGATACCCACTGCGATACTGCTCACTGGAAAAAAGAGAATTTAAGTATTATAATGCTTAGAGAGTGAATATATTGACGACAATTACTGCGTTTCAAATATCAGCTAGCACAAGGTTTCCGTTTCGTATTATACTGCAGTTTATCGCAAATAATTCGTCGGGGACGATATAATCCTAGGATTTGCTGAAAATACTTTGTCGGATACAAAAAGATCGAAGGAGATATCAAATGAAAAAGTCGAAGATAATGAATTATGAGCAATGTCAATGTCCTGTGAACTATACGAAACCTGAACAAGGCAAAAACGTAGACCCCTGGACACCTCAGAGGTAGGATCAGGTATCTAGGATGAGTAAGCGTCCCCTGTCGACAATTCACATCCACCACGAACCCTCTGTATTGATCAGATAACACATTATGATCGTTAGGGCCACCGGAGATACCAGTACTTCATTTGAGAAAATATGATCCTAAGTCTTACAAGAGATATTTCATCTGAGAAAATATGATCGTAGGAGTTCCTTGAGATATTTCATCCAAGAAAATATGATCGCAAGAAGAACTTGAGATATCTCATAAAGACAGTCTGATGAAAAGAGTCACCTGAGATACACATATATTAAAATAACAGTAACTTGATCCGAAGAGCCGTATCACGTTGAGTTGACTTGCGCGGAACATCAGATCAAACGAAACACGGAGAGTCGTGTTTGATCTGATGACCCGCACATGTCAACGAGACGCGACACTGCTCTTCAGATCAAGTTACTGTTATAATGATTAATTTATTCTATACCCTCTACAATTAGCAAAATATTATAAAAAAAATTTTGGGATCAATCATACAATTTTTATCCATTAAACGAAATACATGTACATTTTCAAAGAACTATTTGATAAGCAAAAAAAGTCATGCATGCTTTGTACTACGTCATCAGTTTCAGAGAAGGGTGATATGGATTCAGAAATCTCAGTGTGGTGATCCGAAAAGTCGGATCACACTGTTAGAAGATTGCATAAAATCAACAGTAAAACTGAGTGATACACAGTTGGGTATATAATAAATGTATTTCTTCTAAAATATATGATGGTAAGTTACATGAGGTATTTAATCTTAGGCATGATAGTTGGTCTTCCCTTAGATATTTCATCTTAGGCATGATAGCAGGTCTTCCCTGAGATAATTCATCTTAGGCATGATCGTAGGTCTTACCTTAGATATTTCATCTTAAGCATGCTCGTAGCTCTTACCTGAGATATTTCATCTGAGACAACATGATCGTAAGAGTTATCTTAGAATATCCATCTAAGAAAATTACTACCCATAGACTCGCTAGAATAATTTCATTTGAGACAACATAATCTTAGGGGTCAACTAGGATATATGGATAAGTAGTACCGGTAAATATTTTCATACGACAAAGGGCTGAAGAAATAATGTACAATGCTAAAGAATATGAGGAAATTCGGAGAAATTCTATGAAGCGTAAGAATTTTTCGATAAAAATTGTGGACATGTAGACTGGTGGACAGGTCGACAAGATGACAAGTCGACGGATTAACAGAATGTTTGGTTGACAGGTCGACAGGTTGACAGATTGTTTGCTTGACAGTCAACATGTATCCAGGAAGACAGTTCGACGGGTTGACAGGTTGAAAGATTGTTTGCTTGACAAGTCTACATGTATTCAAGAAGAAAAGTTGACAGGTCGTAAGGTAGACGAGATGACGAGTTGACAGGTCAGCAGTTTGACGAGTTGACAGGTCGACAGCATGACAAGTCGACGGGTTGACAGAATGTTTTGTTGACGGGTCGATAGGTAGACGAGTCGACAGGTTGACAGGTCGACGGGTTGACAGATCGACAGGTTAACATATTCTTTGCTTGACAGTCTACATGTATTCGGGAAGTCAGTTCGACGGGTTGACAGGTCGACAGGTTGACAGATTGTTTGCTTGACAGGACCTGTCGACCTTTGTGATGACAATACAGGTTAAGTGTCAAATTTTCAACCATTTAGGGAAAAACTCTTCTTGTAGACTATTTTCTCTGGTTGACTATTTGATGTAATAAGGCAAAACACTCACTTTTTGTTTTCTAAAGGGAACTATTTCTTTCCTTGTTTTAAATTTGAAAGATGTTTATCGGTTTTACGGATCTACTTTTCCGTATACCCTAGTTGAACTAATCTTAGGTACAACGTGAAAAATCATCTAAGACAATTTGATCGTTAATCTTATCTGATGATATCTCATCTAAGACAATATGATTGTCAGATTAACCTGAGATATCACATCTAAGACCATTCGATTGTAGGTGTTACCTGAGAGAATGCTAATAAGGAGAGTCATTACATGGGTTAGCAGCATGTCAGCAGCAATGGAGAGGAAAAGGCACATAAGAATGAGGACCACCGTCAGAAGCGCCATCCCCAGGGCCAAGACACAAAACCCCCGAGACCGACGGATCCAGTTGTGTCCTGAACAAAAAAAATTAGACGGTACAAAAGCAATGCATGTTAATGTCTTATAACCAAATGGCTATTCAGATAAATAATTACATGTGTAGAATGCATTTATCATTGAAATAAAACAAGTAAAAAACAAAGAATAAAGAATGCAAAATATCCCACTCAAAGTAATTCGCATGGATGATATTACTTTTATTATTATTATTATTTTTTTTTGTTGAAATACTGTGGCTGTACAATAAAATTTGCTCATAAGATAATCTTTGAGTACAAACTAAATAAATAAGTTTAAATAAACTTCGTTTTTCATAATAAAATTTCTTTTTTCTACATATTTCACTGATTTTTGTTAGATGAAATAAAAATGTGTGAAAATAACGAACAACGATCATTCTAAAAAAAACCACTCAAGCAATGTAAATTATCAGCAAAACCAACACGGACCTCTGAAAACAGAGTTGGGATCAGGTGCCATGAAGTAGAAAGCACCCCCTCTCTACCCTGCCTTTGTCATGGTCGGATAAACGGAAAAAATTCCATAGGCTATTCAGTGTGAAAATAATGGCCTTAGTTATTGTATGAAAAACGTCAGTTAACAAGTTACTTAATGGCAGATGGTATTTGCAGACAAAGTCATTGTATTGACCATAGAATTTGCGAAATGTTGACGAGATTTTTTATATCCATGTATCATCGACTTATTTGTCAATAGCCTGTCTCGTTTTAGAAATTGTCCATATGCAGAACTTGCTCTTTCTAAACGAATCTACTGGGAGACAAAAACCAGTTGCAGGTGACCAGTTGCAGTAGCATAGTGGTAGGGCGTTCGCGGTTCAATTCACGTTCCCAGTGCCGCATTACAGCTAAGACGTTAACATAAATATTGACTGTTCCCTCGCCAAGCACCCGTATTAGAATAGAGAGTCTCGGTCTTTCGTAGAAATCTTACAAAACCTAGGTACCTTGTCACAGTAGGCGTTGGCAGGGTAAAAAAAAGTCAGTGCACAATGGCCTTGAGTGCCGAGTAAAGGTCTAAATTTGAAACTCTTCATGGTATATGGTGACGTCTCTTATGATTGACAAATTCTTGCAAGGGACTTGCAACAACATACAAATAATATCAATCAATCATATGCAAGTGATAATAGTATATTAATACAAAAATAAGTGGAGTTGACGATTCGATATTAAAGTAGACGTTAACACGTTTATCAGAAAGTTTAGTTGTCAGTTTGCCATCAATATCTTTTTCTAGTAAAATATCCAAATACAAAATAGATGTGTCAGAGCGTTGTGTCATTTATTTCAAGTTTAATTGCATATATCAAATCAACGTAAGAATGACACTGGATATCAAAATGCCGTTGATATATCTAAATGTCGATTTGAAGGCCACAGCAAGAGACTTCTTTTCATGTAGAAGTTTCATATTAAATTCTGCTTCATATAAAGACAAAAACAAGTACCGGTTTGCTAATAATGGGGTAAAATTAGGGACGATGTGAATTCTAATATTGTTGGTAGACTTGGTCTTCCAACCAGATAGATATTGTCAATGAGAACATCAAGCATCTTTTTAATATCAACCTTGGAGTACTTTTGTATAGAACCGGAATGTTTTTAACAAAATAAGTTTGCTGATGACCAATGACAAGGTATGCAAATTTACGTTTCATTTTCTATTGATGAAGCAGTTGTTAAGAATGTCAAAAAGTGTGGTCTTTAATTTATCATGGGGAATGGTTTGATAAAATGTTGGAAAGTCGTTGTTTTGAATCTATTGGTTTTGTTTAAACTTAGAACATGTTGCTGTACAGTACATCCGAAGTTTCTCTTTCACTGGGAAAAAAATCAAATAAACAATTGCAAACAATGAAGTTTTCACCAAATTGAAAGCCAGAATGAAAATCGACGGCAAACTGTTTCCAACGATCAGGGTTTATGGAATTAATGGTCTAATCATTTAGAAACAAACATCAGCATATCTCTGGAGATGAAATCCAATAGAATTTTCTTTTCTTGTTGACATCTTTTTTGAAGCTATTCTCTGTTCTTTATTCAATGAACCAATATGCCGTTTTGATTCAAATAATTTTTTCAAACTGACACAGACACAGTGAATAAGTAAAATTGATAAATAAAAAGAAAAAAAATAAGTGTGTGGATTAATTCATCATTTAAACTGTTATGAATAGAGAACTTGCTTGCCCCACTGCTTCAAAGCAATTAAAATTGTTGTTGGACTCTCTTACCGAATGAAAGAAACAGGTATGAAAAAAAAAAATGTAAAATCAATTTCAAACTCGTACAAAATATGGCAATGTTTGTCATCAATGTTTGGCACACAAAATTAGTCCCAAAAGAAAAGTTGGGAGAAAATTTGGATATGAGATGGTCTCAGTTCGTGAAACATGGAAACCATATTACATAGTTTTATATTTCCCATGGGTACAACAAGTTTGTTACAAAATTAAATGTAATAAATCTTCAAAAGCTTAGCAATTACTGTAAACCAACTATTATTCGCGTCATCTTTTATTCGCGAATCGTCACTTTGAAATCAATCTGCGACAATTATTTTTCGCGACTGAGGAAACATTCTCTACAAATAAAAAGCGAAATAATCGGTTCGCGGCGATGAATATTCGCGAGATAAAATAGGTCGCGAAACTCGCGAATATTTCTCGCACGCGAATAAAAGTTGGTTTACAGTATTCCTTTTAATAAAATGAGGTAATCGGGAAGTAGATTACACTGATGTACGCTAACTCTCTCTCTCTCTCTCTCTCTCTCTCAACATGTGACACGGAATATTGGACTTTTGCGAGAAGCAGTGACTTTTACAGTCTACGGCTTACTTTGACATTTAACTTGCCTTGTGTACGGAGGTACGGTTTTGACAATAGCCAAGAAAGTCTTAATAGTGGTTATAGGTATGGTGTTAAGGGCAGTAACATGATTTACCGGCATGCAATCAACGCAAGAGATGATGGGATCCATAATTAAATAATTTACCTTATTCGTGAGGGGTAGTATCTCCTTCCAATCTCATTTTCTGAAGGAATCAAATAAGGAAGAAAAAACCATTCCGGAAGGAAAACTAAGCAAGAGTTCATCAATGTGGGAAGGGTGGGGGTTGAGGGTAGGGTGGTTGCTGGTCCCTTCCTCGACAACGTAAAATGTGCTTTGAAATGGCCCATTATTATCGTTTAATTAACTGTTAAGCTCAATATTTATATCGCAACAGAGCTTCCATATATTGTCCTAGCGTAAAAGTAAGTCGTCGATTGTAAAAGTCAGCGCTTCTCGCAAAAGTCCTTTACTGACCGATTTTAAACAATGTGAATAATTGACTTTTCTATAAACACTCGTGTTCGCATTAATATTTCTAGAGCAGAAATAAACGAATTGATCTTTTTCAAATGAAAAAAAAAGTTGATTTTATTGAGTAAATTCAACAAGTCTTGAGAATCTATATAAACTAATTTAACTTTAATTTAGATAAAGCAAATATAAAACCTTACAATACTGATACCCTCTGTTCATATGTAGATACAACGGAGATCTTTATTACACATTTACTGTTTACTTCTTTTTTATGCCTTTTTCTAAAAAAAACTATTGGTTGTTTAAATAACAATATAAAAATATAAAATAATATGATAGCCCTTCACATTAATTTTATTCAATAGAATTTGAACTTTTCTGCAGCTTTTAATAGTTTAACCTTTTGTATATACCTTCTGGTTACCATGGCCTCAAGAGTGAGATATAATGTTGATTAATAGTCTCAAGGCTAAGCTGGAAATTCTTAGGTCACATAAGGCTATATTTTCAATGCAAAAATAAAATAACTAAATTTAATCTAAAATTAATTTTAAAAAAGGATGTAAAAATTCTATTAATATATATATATATATATATATATATATATATATATATATATATATATATATATATATATATATATATATATATATATATATATATATATATATATATATATATATATATATATATATATATATATATATATATTCTGGTATTAAAATTTAATCTCCAAACGCATGACTTGAACAAAATTGAATCAAATAACATGCTTGCTTAATAACATCTTACAGTGGTTATTTGTTCTTATCAAAAGGAGATTTTTTAAGGTTAACCCTATATTGAATATAAACGTATATATGTTCAATTTTGATCTCTTATTGTGGTCCGATATTTGCCCTGGAAGCCATGATTTAACTAATTATGAGGATACTGAATGCTGATATGAATAACACCAATATGATATGAATAACTGTTGTCCATTTTTGGGTGAGAAGAAAAGATTTGTAAAGATCTCTTTGTATTTTAAATATATTACCATATATAACAATTAACCCCATATTGTGACGCCACCCTAGTTTTGAGGACCATGACTTGAATTTACACTACATGGATGCTTGCATACAAATATATGTAATGAAATATATGGAGATAACGAACAGTATTCAAGCTCAAAAGTCCATTATACACTACAGAGCAAACACGGACCTCCAAACATCAGAGGTGGGATCAGGTGCCATGGAGGAGTGAGCATCCCCTGCCGACCGGTCACACCCGCCGTGTGCTCCTTGTCATGATCGGGAAATAACGGAAAAATCCGTCGACAATTCAGTGTGTAAATAATGGCCTAACAATTAGTATGAAAAACGTCAGTCAGCATTTGACTCAATGAAAAATTGTATTTGCTGACAAGGTCATTGCATGGACCATAGAACTTACGAAATGATGACTTTAAACGAGACAGCTGATATTCTTGTTTCATCAACTTATTTGTCAATAATTTACCTCCTTTTAGAATTTGTACATACGTAGAGCATGCTCTTGCGTATCGAATCAACTGAGAGATATATACCCCGTATGCAGGTGATGAAGGTATATTGCTGCATAAGTAAGGGAAGTTGACGATTGAAAAGTTAAAGTCATCACGTTTATCATAAAGCTTGGTTGTTAGATTACCATTA